AAAGTGGTGAGTTGTGGTTCAAATTGTTGGAATTTCTCAAACATTATCTTACTCATATTACATATATTCAGGCGAACAACAATATTATTCGAATAATCTGATCCTTGTATTATTATTGCATTACTCGTGTATTCAAAACCGAAATAATTATAGATTTACGTCATTATAATATAATAGTTAATATTATTACATCATTACATATTTTACTGTTAAAAATAATGAGTGTGGTTTTATACTCGCGAATCAGGGTACTGTGTACACAGTCACTTTATTGATTTATAGACGTAAATTATTGTGTCTTATTATGTCTATAATTATGAGGATATCCCGCAGTACTTGAGCAAAGCTATACGATTTCTGCAATAATGCAAGATTATTTCTTTGTTCGGTAATAACAAAAAAAAAAAACAACACTTTTTGGAAAGGCAGTCAAAACAAAAGAGTTATATCAACTACTGAATACTGAATGTGGAAGGTTTTTTTTTTTTTGACAGGTCGTTTTTTATTACTTTTTGCTGTTATACAAAATTTCAAAGTTCTGGACACGGGAGTTTCAAGATTTTTCATTATACAATATTTTATTAGTTCAGTACACCACCTCTCCTCTGACTCTCCTTCTAAACAAATGCATAAAGTGATACCGTTCATGACCACGTATGTTTTGAATACGACGATGTTTGAATACAGCACCTATAGATAGATATTTCCTATAGCAAATGTAATTTATTATACTGTAATATTTAAGTAACTTTTTAATATTTACGTAAGTATCACAAGATAAGAAGAAAAATATATATAGGTAAATATATTATAATACAGATAATATATTTATTAATTGTTTTTTTATAATCTTTGGAACTTACTTATAGTATAAGTTGGTGAATAAATATAAAATAATACTCAATAAGTATTATTATATAATCACTGATAATATCTAAATCAACGATTACAAAATTGTTTATTAGACACTGTCCTATGGAATAATACTTAATTCGTATTGGACAAATTTAAATTATAACACCCTTGGATTATTTCTGTATGTGTACCATTGTCATTATAGGTATAATGAATAATATACATTAAACATTATAATACAATATGAATTTAGTTTACCATATAATATGTAAATATTAAAATACTAGATACATAGAATAGTGAATTAAGTAGAACAACTTTATCATTTTTTATTTGACCAACATTCATTTTACATTTAATAATTGTTTTAAAAATTCTCAACGAATTTTTGGTATTATTTTTTAAATATAATATAATATTTAAAACAATAATGTGTTATTTTTGTTATGGTTAATGTTTCTTTTTCAAGTTTTGATTGTTCACGTGTGAATTATAAATCATTGATCTCGGGTTAAATATAAAATATATATTTATCCGTGATTTGTAGTTCTCTCATACGTTGATAATGATAACACACTAAGGCCCATTCTTACAATGTCCGGTTAAGTGTCGGTTAGTGCTAATCGGCAGTTATACTGAAATTTAACCTACAGTTGGTTCTGATATACGTCGATTAAGGAAAATGTCTCCGGGCACCGAAGATTTTACGGTCGGATTTTTAACCGATAGAATTCTGCTTTTATCCTCCGGTTATACTAAAATCTCTCGGATTTAGTTATCAATACTTTTTATGACTGCTGTTATTATTAATAATTTATTCTATAAGTACTACTAATTTTGTGTTTTATGAGTTTATCTTGAGTTTATCTGTATAGTGCATACTTTTTTATTTTGTTTTTACTTTTTTGTTAGAATTATGAAAAGAGCAATATGCCAATATATAACTGCAGTTTGATTTAAAGTGATTCTTCAGACTACGAAAATGAAATTTTAGAATTGAATATTGCAAAGAAGAATATGTCAATAGACAATAATCAATATGAATATTATAATACCGGGTTTTGTTTTGTTAACAGACAAGAAAATATTATGTTATAACATTTATATTATTTATAACGAATTATCTGACTGTATAGATGATAATAACAATAATAAATTATAACTCAGAACTGCGCATGCGTTGAACAATAAAATTTGGTCACGCGCGGTTGTTTTGGGAGTCACTGTCGGTAAAACTATCGGTTAGTTATGCGATAGTTAACCCACACTTTTTACGTCACTTAACCGGACATTGTAAGAACGGCCCTAATAATATTATGATAATATGATACTATTATGTGCCATAAATCGTAATAGATAGGTAACGACTTTGACGACTCATGTACCCTTTTTTTAACAAATATTACCATACAGTAAAAAAAAAAAAACGGTTTATACCATTAATAAAATAAATGGTTCTTATCAGTATCGGCCTACCTAGAATAAACGACACAGTTACCTTATTAGAGATGGCTATTTTAAAATACATACCTAGGTTTTAATGATTTGATGTGGACATAATACATGTATTACAATATATTATATTTCAATATTTTCTCAAATTTATAGTAGTCGCCAGTCACAGTTAGTAGCACTGTAGCAGCATTGATTAAGTATGCCTAATTAATGGTAGCTGCAGTTAGCAGTAACAACTGCTAAAAATCAATCATCAATCTATAAGGTAAAGTAACTGTGTTGTTTATTTCAATAATAAATAAATAAAAAAAACTAGATAGCAAACTCTGTATTCGTAATTGAAAGCGAAAATGTCGCTACCTGGTGGAATTTATTAGAACTGCTCTAACGGGAAATATATACGTTTGATTACATTATAATATTATAATCAGACATTGAATACTGAATACTGACTTCTGAATTTCTTTGTAATAATCTCGTTTAGTTGGAGGAAAGTGGTGGTGCATTATCAACTCGCCGCGTGCCGTACCACCACACAAATGATACTCCACTACTCTTCTCCAACTTAAAAGTGGAATATCTCGTCAACAAATCGACAAAAATCAAAAATGCCAACAGTAAAATTTGTTTTAACTATTACTCCATCTATTTATGGACATTTTTTTTAAATATAAGTCACCATTTAAAAATCAAAAGTAGGTAATGGTTTTACCCCCAAAAATAAGTGTGACAAAAAATAACATGAATATAAAATTGTAAAGCAGCTTGTTTCTTAAATATCCTAGAAAACAAATTCCGGATACAAAAAAAGTTAATACTTTTAAGATAATGCGTGTACCCACTTAATAGATCACCTGGTAGTGTTTAAAATGTACCTACCTACCACGTGATGTTTACCGTGAAGATCACTGGTTTGCAAACATAGTCTTAAAATCTTAATAAATATATCATTTTAGATTCTAAGTGAGCGAAGAAGCTTATGATTTACAAAGATGCTTATTTTTTATAAGTTTTTTTTTATCTCTTTTTTATATCTATTTTAGCAAACATCAACCTATTTATAAATGACGGCTGACATCATATCTAAGCATACAATAGTATACGGAGTCGACTATCTGTACTCGGGTCACCGAGAAAACGATACTCCTTGGCGCATCTATAATTAACGAATTCCTCGGTTTTGTGCCTACATTTCTCCCACTCTACTACCTACTCGCCGCCGTAAATTATACGAATAATATGTATGTAATATAAATATATTATGTATGCATTTATTTATTCATTCCAACATAAATTTGTCTAAATAATACCGAAAAATAATAAAAAATATATTAAATTTAAAATACAAAAAAAAAACAAATACAAAGAAATCAATTTGTGTTTGAATCCAAGTCTGTTGTTGAACCTGTTCCTATCGTTAGACTATGACGTGCTCCATTAGGTTCTGCGTCCATAATTTCGTCAGTTACATGTTGTCGACGTTCCAAAATTTCTTTTCTTCCTTTACGACGTGTCCCACAAAATTCGTCCACATTTCCGGTGTTATGTGTTCCACGCCTCTTTTTAAAAATTCTTGAACGTCTTTTAGCTTGAATGTGTTGTTATACGTCCGGACATAGCTTTTGATCACGCGAGTTCGATCAGGTTTGGCTCGCAGTGGTATGGAGGCAATCTTAAGATAGTTTTATTGTTGTCTTTTACGTACTCATCTATTACATATTTATCGTATTGCAATTTCAATGTCTGGACTCTTTCCAATAACAACGCTTTTATTGTTGGCTGGATAACAATCTCTCCTTTACTTTCCAGCCAATTTATAATATCTTCTTTTTTCCAAGACATTACTGAAATTCTATCTTTCTTAAACGAATGATATGGAATGTTGTCCATTACAATTACGGCATTTTCTTTAAGTAACGGCAAAATTGTATAATCCATTCAAAGAAAGTATCACCATTCATTGCATTATGATAGTCTGATGAGTTAGTTTTTGATTTGAAGCACAAAAGGCCCCCCAGGGACAAAGTCATCAGCCGATCTTATATGTAATACAATAAGTCGCTTACCTTTACCTGAGGGTTCCTTTTGTCCTGTAGTGAGGCTTCTAAGGAATGTGTCACGTGGTAAATTTATGTATGTATCCGAAAACGTATAAATGTAGCACAATACAGAACACGCTGTATATACACAATTACCGACACAATATGATAACGGCAGCGGCGGCGATGGTAGCCGTTGGTGAGCGATGGTGCTGCAGACGGTGGCGGCGGCGATGGCGGCAAGCGTTCAGGCAGGTTTAGTGGTGGGAATGCGCGAGAACAGACGAATTTTGGTCGCCTTTCAATAGCGTTTTCTCATTGACCGGAGAATAGTATAATCTGTGGTTCATTGTTATTTTAACGTAGTTTAATATCATAACCTCAAAATAAGTCTGTAGGACAGCGCTCAATTTTGCAGTCGTACGATTTGGAAAATAATTTGCTTCACAGCAGAATACTAATAAAGTATAGTTGTCCGACCTTATTTTCTATAACCGTGCTTTTTGGTGTCAAGTGTTATTAAACCTGAAACCAGTACAAAATGTATCAATAGGTGGTACCAACGAATTTCTAGCCAATCACCTTCATAGCAAATAAAATATTGTTACTTGGACACTTGTGCACATAGACCAGTACCGAGTTACCAACACCATGGCTTCTAATGAAGAATATATAAATAATTCTAAAATACTACTTCCAGGTTAGTACAACGACTATTATTATTATATTTTATTAAGCCGTGAAGATTATTTTTTGGTTAAAAACTTATGCTACAGTGATATTTGTATAATATATTTTTGAAATATTTCAGCCCGTGAAAGATTCTTATGATTATTTTGTTTATCAAAGTTAAGGGAAAGGATAGATTAGAAATAGAAAATATGGATATGCCTATTACTAAAATGATTGTTAAACACTTAATTTATTTCCATCTAAAAATGTTATATAGTTGATCAAAACTAAAATTAAATAATTTAAAAAAAATTCCATTTGATAAATCAAACACCCTGAATAATGATCATCTACCAACTTTATATTTTTTTCTACAAATATGGATAGTATAGATCATCATACATGTACAATTTTACATATTATAACATGCGGCATACCAACTGTGTAAGGTGTTATTTAAAATTATTATTAATTTTTATTATTTGATGTCTGATACATATTTGATGTATAATGTTCTATGGATATAATTAATATAACATTATATAGTAACCGAAAACGGAGATTTAGTGGGCTGTAGAATATTTATTAAAAAAGTCTTGCTTAATATGAATAATTTTTTAAAACAAGTATTGAATTTAAAATGAATGTTGGTCAAATAAAAAATGATAATGTTGTTCTACTTAATTCATTACTATATGTATCTAGTATTTTAATATTTACCTATTACATGGTAGACTAAATACATATTGTATTATATTATGTAATGTATAATATTTATTATACCTATGATGAAAATGAAGAAGATACAGATACAAACATAATTCAAGGATGTTGTAATTAAATTTTGTCTAATACGAATTTAGTATTATTCCATAGGGCAATGTCTAATAAACAATTTTGTAATCGTTGACTTAGATATTATCAGTGATTATATAATAATACTTATTGAGTATTATTTTATATTTATTCACCTACTTATACCATAAGTTAGTTCCAAAGGTAATAAAAAACAATTAATAAACTTATAAACTTATAAACTTATTATGTTATACGATAAATATAAATAAATAAATAATGTATACACATTTTAAAATAGATACCTATACTATAATAGGATATCTGATGTATATAATGAAAATATATTTCATCAGCGTTAAAAGCATAAATACAACCAATTTACCTATATATACTTATCTTCTTATCTTATGATACTTAAGTAGGTATTATAAAGTTACTTAAATATTACAGTATAATATATTACATTTGTTTTGGGAAATATTTATCTTTGGGTGCTATATTCAAAAATCTTCTCTTACTCATATTAGCTACTATATTATAATTAACTTCTTTGATCTCAAATATTAATATTAGAAAAATGTATACTATATATTTATAAATAGGGAACAAATTTATATGTACTTAAAATCTGCAAAAAAGTGTGTAATCGTCAAAAATACTTAAAAATATTTCAAAAAGCAAAAGTGATAAAGGATTCTTCATATTGTTAGATTCCATTTATCCTTTTCAAATTTATAATAGTTAGTTCTTCCTCATCCTATAGTGCTTCTATGTTTTCCTTCCATCTATCTACAATCTGTTCTTGTTTGTAAATAATTTCTCCTCTCCATTTTCTATTGCTTAAAATTTGGTAGTATGTTTTCCAAAGAACTTTTTCATGGTCTAAATAGTACCTGCCTTAATAATAAGTTTTTAAATTTGAGTTTATAAATATATTATGGGAGGTTGTGCAGCAATTACTTGTCACAATAGTGACAAAAAAGGTTTTAACATGTTTATCTTCCTAATTATGCCAATGAATGTGATTGTTTCCTACTAGATTTCTTTCAGAATAAAAAGTAAAATATGGATATCGTTTATCATCAAACTTCTTAAACAGTTTTCCAAGAAAATTTCTCTAATTTCAAATTTAATACTGAAAATGTTAATACTTTAGCGTCTCATTTTGATTCATCAGATTTAAACAATGTATATTATTTAAGTGGAAGTGCTGTACATTATATTACTACATTTTGTTATGAATCATGTCGTACATTGGTTGTTACATCTCAGGGATGTAATATAACTTCTGAAATGAAACATTTTACAGAATTTATGAACAAATTGCACATCCTTTTTTATATGTAATTTAATTAATTTTAAACTGTGAAGTAATTTAAATACAACATAAATCATTCATTTTGCATAATTATTCTTCACAACTATTAATGGATAAGATGTTTTCAGAAAAACAATTTTCAAATTTGTACCACTAAAAAACCTGACTTAAATTTTTTGATTATTAAATATTTTTTTTATTATTCATGGATATACAATAAATTCATTAAGTGTTACTAAGAAAAGAATAAAGGACATATAGCACTGCAAAAAAAAAAAATGTATTTCTTAATATAATAAAAATATTTCTGTGTGATCCCTAAATAATTAAAATGTATAAATTATATAAATAAGAAAGACATTAATTACAATGAGTTATTCAATAAATAAATTTGTTATTAAGAAATTGTAAAACAATTCATAAGTATTAAAACAAATTCTTGAGTGCTAATCAATAATTTACAGTAATAGAAAAAGAGCCAAACTAGACAAAATAAAATATTTTAATTTAATATTTTGTTTTTTATTCTAGATCTTTAATTTTATGGTATATTAACTGGTATCTTTTGAATCAGAATTTGATTGTAACTGTAGTAACTACTCATCCAATAAATGTTTCACAATTTATTAGAGCATTTTTCAATTTTATCAAGTGTTGGATTTCTAAAGAAAAAAATATAATAAGTACAAAAAAGTAACTAAAAATAACTGATATATTGAATAGTGGTCTTACTTTAGTTGGTAAATTTGATTATGTATGTGTATTCATATTATTATCTTCAGTTTTAGATTCTTAGTGGAATGAAGAAGCTTTTAGTTTTACAAAGATTTTTTTTATTATTATTTTTATCTGTGTACAACTTTTGTACCAGAAAACTTGCTCAGATTTTTAAATGTGTTTTCCTTCTTAAATTGGAGCGGATAGGGTGGTCAATTTTTCGATTTTCTCAGGAGTTTTATCAAATTGGAAAAACTGAGAAAATCGGTACAACTTAATATTGTAACTTATTTGATGTGCCCTTGGATTCAAAATTTAAACACAAATGATCACATATCTTTCACATATTCTAAATAAGAATCCGCAATACATTGCACCAGTAACGATATTGCATTGCTATCATCCACTAAAAATGATGATCTCTTGATGAGTTAATTTAGAGTAGACTGACTAGTTAGTTCTTCATCTAGCATTTACTTATACTTTATATTTCATGGACAATTATGCTCTCCATTCTTTCATAAGAAAACCTCCACTCAAAACTTCCAATTTGAAAAATTTGATCCAGCAAATGGAATGATGCCAATACGTTCCTCAATATCTGGGTTCATAACCTAATGATTGGTGTACAACACTAAATAACAACAGAAGCATAAAACAGAACATGGAATTTGTGTAAAAAAGGTTAAAAAGAATTTTAGGTTATAGTAGATAAGGGTATTTGTAATTGATGCATAGTTATATAACAACAAATAAAATATAATATTTTAGAAATAAATTTGAAATTTTTCAACAATTTATTTATGTATGCATTTTGTCTAATACAGGTATGTTTGCATGGGAATTAATAGGAACAATTTATCAACCTCTGATTCTGCGTAAAATCAATGGGTTCATTTTTAAATATGTATCAAAACAAACATTGGAAAACGAAATTTTAAAAAAATATTTCAACTATAAAAATATGGATGTTTTTTCATGCATATCTTTAAAAACTTACACTATCGACAAATGTGAAGCAAAATTACTAACCAATATCAACAATCTTCACGCTGGGAAAAAATATGGAAAAAAATTGAAGTTCAAGGCTGGAATAGATTGGATTATTAGTTTAGAGGACGCCAAAGAATTGTATGAATTTATTGAATACTGTTATATTAAATTGCGGAATAATAGTGTACCCGACCGTAAAGAAAAATGTGGTTTTATACTCATCGATTCGCATTTTATTGTGTCATACTATATCAAAGACAACCAAAAGTTCATTCCACTCTTCTACTTTGAAAACAAAATGAATGACTTAATAAGACATTGTGCTATTAAGCTAGAAAATTGGGACTTGGCATACCTTAAATTTTGGTTTAAAGTTCAGGGTGTCAGAAAAGAGTTTTTTGCTAGTGACTCTTGCACTGTGATTAGCCTAAATGACATAAAAAGATATTGTAAATCAGAAACTACTTTCACAGAATGTTGGCCAGCTAAAATAAAAATTACCAGTAGATCTGATTCATGGATTAGAACATCAGATCCTTTTGATAATCCAAATACGGTACCAGTTTCGAAATCTGTGGGATCACCACAAAGTGTGTCTATCTTTAATAATAAAATGGTATGTTTTTTTTTTTTATGTGTTGGTTTTTCCAAATCAATAATTATTGTTTACTATATACTCAATGAATTATAATTTTTGAATTTTTAAATCAGAAATTGTATGATTTTAATTATACTGAAATTTTTTGATTTTCAGGTCAGTTTATTGAAAAATATCACCATCAATTGAATCGATTAGACCAAAAATTAATTGAAAATATCCAAAAAAAAAATTAAAACTTACAAATAATAAAATATTTCAATTTTGATGTTAAGCTACTATTATTAGACTAAATATATAAATATAGTACATTAAATACCTAAATCTATAATTAAATACCTTTATATTTAATATATAAATTGAGTAAAATTTTAATTTAATGTTGTATAATAAACACACACCAAAATAATATACATAGTAGGTATACTATACTTAAAAATAACTTAACCTTTTTTTTTTTTTGAACCGACAATTCACCTATCACCTGGAAATACTGTTGAGTAGTACGTTAGGTGAAGAATAACTTAACCTACCATTTAGTAATTCAAAAGTATATGATGGCTATATCTATTTTTTAGGTGTGATAGATTCACTATCTGCTTAACATGATGATCAATGAAGATTAGACTTGCTACAGACTTAAGCAGACGACAAATTTAAAATAAAATATAAATAATTTTATATAAGTGTCCCATTTTATGTTTTTTATATAAATCATAATATTTAGTTTATAGGTAAGATGAAGTGGGGTAACTGCAACATAATTTTAAAATGTTAAACTTGAACAACTGGCTATTTTTCCTGGAAATAACTAACAAAGTGTTTTAATTGACTGTCCTATAAGGGCAAATTTGCTCATTCTCACACTAAGTTTTATTTGTGTCTTTAAGTGTCTTTCTAAAAATATAATAATAATAATGATAATATTTACCAAACTCATTGGAAATAATAATATTATTAATTTATGATCACTATCATGTTAATCATTTACCGTACAACAACCCACAACTGGTAAGTCATTATATTCTGTAGAATGTAGACTACATATATATTAACTGCATATTAATTGTAATTAATTTCAAATTCGGAAATATGTCCAGAAACAAGTGTCAATATTTACATTGTAGCAAATCAAAGAAAATGTTTCCAAATTTAAAAATGTATTGTTTTTCAAATGACGAAAGAAAAGAAATATGCATAATACATTCAGGTAAGTAATTAATTAAAAATATTTATACAAAATTTATAATATTCAAGAAGATTTTTATATAGCATTGCGAATATTATTTTGTCACTGTCTATTTAAAGGCTGTCTCATGAAGATATATACCCATTTCAATTTCTTCAGAGATAATAATGATAGTCAAATTCTGTTTTTTTTTTTTATATTCACAGTGATAAGAACTATAAATATTTATATTTCAATTAACTTTTATTAACTATTTTATTGTTTTTAAAAATCAATTTTATAGAATTTATTCTTCTGAAAATTTTGACGTATCAACTATTTATTTTTATTAAATTCATGATTTTTAATAATTTTTTATGTATCAGAGAAAAGTACCTATAATTATGCAGTAGACAGTAATCACATTATGCTAATTGTCTGTACACTATTTTTCTCTATATATATTAAGTACAAAATATGATAAATGATTTATACATTTTAAAATATACCATTATTCATTTACCTGTAAACATTATTTATTATTTTATTTACACTTAATTGTGTATATCTACACAGGAAAAACAAGTTTATTTTCTGTTGAACCAGATAAACTCTGCAATAGGTACATTTGTCAAGAACATTTCCCACCTGAGAGCTTTTTACAAAATTCTAGTCAAAACCTTTTGATGCGCATTGCTATTCCTTATAATTATAAATCTGAGACCTAGCCATCTACATTATTATGCTTTAACTAAAATGACAAATTTGAACAAGGGTATAAAATTTAAATGTCAATACCAACTAAAACATATGCATGCTCAGAATCAGACATGGTAGAGTTAGTTTTTCCGAGTCTCCCTTCATTGTTTTCTACTCCTTAAAAAACTAAAATAACAAGTATAATAGAAATACCTAACCCTAATTTAAAAAAAAAAAAAATGTGATTTGATTAAAATGGATACACCTAGAAAAATAAATTTAAAACAAAAAAACCAAATAATTGATAATAAAATAACACATTTCAAAATTTAAAAAAGAGTAAGTACATTTAACACTCATAATAGTGTTAAAAACTCAATAAATATGAATAAATTTTGATCAATTAATTCCAAGGCAATAGTAACAAAGCAATTAAAAGATAGGCGTCGTCTATGGACGCTAAATGAAAAAAATTTAACTTTAAATTTATATTATAAATCACCAATAGCATATACATTTTTACGTTCACAAAAAGTTAATTTACCCAGTCCATGGATGATTAGTCAATCGAAATTCTTACTAGGTTTTAATAAATTATTTTTCAATCAAATACAAAAATAATTTGAGTCATCTGATTATAAATAAAAAACGTGCACTGTTTGTTTTGATGAGATGTATATACAATAATTTATAGAATATTCGAAAAAAATTGATTTCATTGAAGGTTTTGAGGACTTGGGTCAATACGAGAGGACAAATAAAAGTGCTAACTGTGTTTTAGTATTTATAGCTTGAGGTATTTATTCACCATGGAAATTTCCAATTGCATATTTTCTTGTTCATTCCAGAGTTTATAAAACCATTTAAAAAATGTAATAATTGATATTTTACAACAGTTATTTGAGGTTAGATTGTATCCAAAAATTATAGTTTGTGATCAAGACATAAACAATCAAAGCACTTTAAAATCATTAAATATTTCAGAAGATAGTCAATTTTTTTTATCAACAACAATAAAATATATTCTTTGTTTGATGTTCCACATTTAGTTAAAAGTATTAGAAATAATTTAATTAATGCATGATTTGTAAAATATAATAAAATAATCTCATTTGACAATATAAAAAAAACATACAATTTGGACAAACAAAATCATAAAAGAAGGTCTCTCGTCAAAATAACAGATGTACATATTTACCTAAATTCTTTTCAAAAAATGCGTGTTAAATTAGCAGTACATTTATTGAACAACTACGTGACACTGTATTATTTTAAAGCGATAACTTTTCAACTTCTTTTATATTTTTTTGATCAAACATGATCCCGACTGCGACTTTTATTGCTGGTAAAATTAAAAACTCACCAATTGTGTGAGGCTTACCATTCGTAAACTTATTTTAAATGAGGCGCACGTAGCTTTTTGGTCAATTGCAGTAAAATTAAAAATATTATTTTTTGATGTTTTCAAAGATTCTAGTTTTCTTCCATAAAAATCGAGTGGTTTATTCTTCATTTCTGGATGGTTAGTATCTATATGTCGATATAGTGTGGTCGCATACTCCCATTTGCAAGTATACATCCACAAATAACACATTGTTGACGTAGGTGTTCTTCGTGTCCGTTCCACGAAAATCCAATTCGCAAATATTCAGAAGAATATTTTCTTAAAGAATTTTTTTGTTTCGACTCAGAAGAACTTGTTGAAGGCTCATCGTAATTTAATTTTCCTTTTTAACTGTTGACAGAGATATTGTCTCTGGTTTTTCTTGACTTCGAGTCATTGACTATTTGTTTAACCATTTGTCCATAGTTGTACAAAAGTACAAAGAAAACGATGTACAAAAGTACAAAGAAAACGAATTTATTTGAGAAAAAATAATATTAAATATACAACTGCGTACATGTATCGTAACTGAAAATAATCAAAAGTTTTAAACGTCGTGCAGGTACCTACTAATTTGGGTGTTCTGATAAATCATTATCTTTTCAATAACTATTAATCTAATTGCGTCGTTTTGACTCGGTCGCTGTAAACTCGTAATCGTCACACTCTCAAATAACGGTTGATGATAAAACTGAATTTAAATAACGAAAAGTAATAGATGTTTAAAAAATGTAAATAAATTTTTATATTGCGCTGTGTGGTTTTTATAAATCGCGACCCACAGTTTGGGAACCTATAGGCTAGACAATTATCTAAAAAACCCCTTTTTCACCTGACCCACATTTTAAATTCTATTCTCAGATTCTTACTTTCCTCTCCAATGGGAAGTATCAGTCATAATATTAATTCCGAAACCAGGTAAACCTCCGGATATTCCTTCATCCTATCGTCCTATCAGTCTCCTGCCGTTCTTTGCTAAACTTAACGAAAAATTAATTCTTAAACATATATCTAAAATCATTAATGAAAAAAAAAAAAATACCTGATACTCAATTCGGATTTCGCAACAAACACTCCACAATCCAACAAATACACCGCCTAACCGACGCCATAGCCTACTCATTTGAAAATAAGAATTACTGTTCCGCTGTTTTAATAGATATTGCTCAAGCCTTCGACAAGGTTTGGCATTCCGGACTCTTATTTAAATTTAAAACACTTCTACCACCCCCCGATTTCTTATTCTTTAAATTTTACCTAGAAAACCGTCACTTCGTTACCAAAGTAGGCTCCGAACTCTCCAACTTATCCCCTATCCTAGGTAGTGTCCCCCAAGGTGCTATTTCATCTCCCATGTTATATAACATATATGCAGCAGACCAACATCATATTTACTTTCCACCCAGACTCACTTATTCCCGGCCAATACTTAAAAAATCACTTTGAGGATATGGAAGAATGGTACTCGAAATGGAAGTTTAAAGTCAACAATGAAAAATGCTCACATATTACTTTTACGTTAAAAAAAGGCACTATTCCTCCGTTATCGCTATCCAATAAAATCATACCATCAGCCTCTAATGTTTGTTATTTAGGATTAATACTAAGGGTTGCCAGACGTCCCGTATAATACGGGAATGTCCCTTTTTTTTGACTAAGTGCCCCGTTGTCGGGACACTGAAATGTCCCGTTTGCTAAAATATGTACCCATATTATAAATTGTATTCTTTTTTCGTTTTGAGATAACAATTACCTACTTGTTATTCATTATCACTACCCGTCGGCCACATAGATAATAGAAGATTAAAATATAACCATATGACCATACCGACCGNTACCTACTAATTTGTGTGTTCCGATAAATTATTATCTTTTCAATAACTATTAATCTAATTGCGTCGTTTTGACTCGGTCGCTGTAAACTCGTAATCGTCACACTAACAGATAACGATTGACGATAAAACTGAATTTGAACAACAACGAAAGGTAATAGATGTATAAAAAATGTAATATTTAAAAATATAACGCGACACACCAAAAGTAAAATCGCGACCCACAGTTTGGGAACCTCTGATCTACAGTATCGTCGATTTCGACTTGGACTACCGACGAAGAAAATGACGCGTTGTTGATGAATGTATGTCAAGCCACCGGTGATACGGAAGGATACGATAACGAAGGTAAGATTTATATTATTATGACCCATCACATAGCGATGGAATTAGTTTTGATTTAGGTTTTTTTTTCTTTCTGTTCCCTGTAGGTAGGAAACGTACACTCAAAGAAGAANCCGCTGCCAGAGTGAAAAAAGCAACGATGGAAATCGTTGCTTTTTTCCCGGCTTCACCGACGTCGAATCGTCTTTCGATCGCAAAATCGTGTGGTACTATGCCAAAAACCGTACATAAAAAGGCGGTAACTTTCTGTAAACGGTGTTGCACGGTGTTGATCGTCCCGTCGTTGTGGTCACGGATAGATAATCCGATAATATTTAATGGTGTAAATAGTAATTATTTCTTACATTTCTAGATTATATTGTCGTTGACAAAAATTTGGTTGTAACGGTGGGTAGACGGGCGGGGGAGAGGAGGAGGCTAGGATTGGTCTTGTCGGTTATAATTCTTCGTCTATCGATTACACCGTTATAAAATATCATTTTTACTATAGGTACTTATACTTGCGATATAGACGAAGAGCGCGTATAGGATGGTGCGGGGTGATTTAGGTTGTTCGACGGTATGGTAACGCGCGTGAAGACACAACTTTATAGACATCAACCTTTGTATGGGCAGTCGCCGACATTCAGAGAAATACGATATGCGTTGACCGCCTAATAGACGGGCGGGGTATGGCGAGCTCGTTAATAACGATTGCTAATGGTACGTCACGAAAAATATTATTTAGAAAAATAATAATAACTTATTAAAATATATACACTGTCTACAAGCATATTATATACGGTATACACATTTGGCGTGGGGCTAAGAGACCGACTCGTACAGGATCGTACAGTACCGTACAGTACCGTACAGGATCGTACAGAATCTTACAGGATCGTACATAATCTCACAGAATCGTACAGGATCTTTCAGGCAAGAAACACGATGCGCGCTGCTGTCAATATATATATATATATATATATATGTATGTATGTATACGTTCTTTTCGTTTTCGGAGAAGGATCGGCTATATGTATATTATAGACGGGGGGGGGGAAGATATGTGTGTGTGTGTAATTCGTTTGTAGGTATATGTATAAGTTTATGTGCGTATGTGACACTCACAGATAACGATTGACGATGAAACTGAATTTGAATAACGAATAGTAATAGATGTTTAAAAAATGTAATATTTAAAAATATAACGCGGCACACCAAAAATATAATCGCCACCCACAACAGTTTGGGAACCTCTGCTCTAAGTAAAATAAATGTTAACATTTCAACATTATCTTCCGATTTGTACCCAGAATGTAATTCTAAAAATAAAGAAACTAAAACGTATAACAATATTTTAAAAATATTTCATGATGTTTAATTATAGATTGTCAGCTGAGCAATGAATGTTTATTTTTTTTTTTTTAATGTAAATACTTTTTCTACAAGAAAAAAGTAACACTACAGGTATAAACCGAGCTATTAAAATAAATTTTAATTTCAATACATTCTTTTAACTATTAATCTTCATATTATATTTCTTTATTCTATACTTAAGCATCACTATGAACTCCGTTCAGAATCGTTTTTTCCAAAGCAATGGTTTATCGTTCTATACAGAAATACATTAAATTCCTTTCGGTATCCTACCTTGTCGACTTCTCACCTACCACAGTGGCTGCACCCACGTGCGAAGTATGTCCATCCTTCTTGCATATGATATTTATTTTATATAGTATGTGTGTATGGAAATGTATGCCTTTTTTCGGTAAGTATCTACCCATAGAATTTGTTAAATACCAATTATTACAGTCAGTAAATGTCATTTACCTAAAAATTGAAAATACCGATAATTGTGATTTTACTAGGAAAGTTCGATTGTTGTACGTAATAATATTTATACATGTAATGTATTGGAAACAATAAAATTATACCTTGTGTTCGTTTATATACAAAAAATAACCAGTAAACAAGTAACTAATTAGGCATTAGCCGCCGCGGCCGCGTCGTCGATGGGTAAACATGTATGGGAGGAAAAATAATTTTGTGGAATATTGCCGCACTATCTCACGGGAGCCCGCGTAACTACGGTACGTTTCACGAAAAACTAGCGACTCCGCAGTGGCGCTTCCGGTGGTGAAATTTCGACACGTTCTGCGGTTTCTCAAACGATAATTTTATTGCAACAATATTATTTCAATTCAAAATAATATGATATAATCGATTTATGCGTCGGCGAAACGGGAAGATTTTTAATCTATACATATAAAATCCAAATACCACTGACTGACTGACTGATCGCTGTATCTCAAAAACCACGTAACGTACGGACTTGAAACTTGGAATATAGGTTCTTCTCATATTTTCACCGTGCAATGAGGAGGGATTTTCAAAAACGTTGCGTTTTAGTGGAGTAATTAACAATTAATTAATTATTCACCGCCGATACGTATTGTGCGGCCCGCGGGTCTCCAGCTACCTGCAACCTATCCTTTTTGTTCGTCGTCGTCGTCGTATAGATAAGAATAATGATTCCGTGAATAAAATTGTTCCGAGAAGTTTATCGATAGAAATAAATATATATAGATATTAGGTTATTATGTATATTATCGATAATTATGAATTTAAGACGGTAAATGGGGTATCTACATGGCGTTATCTAATTCGTCACGAGTTTGTTTCCGGGCAACGCCGGGTAATTCAGCTAGTACCTAATAAAACTGGCTTATTTGTCGGCGAAATGGGAGTCGACGACGAGGACCGAACACACGGACAATACGCACGCGACGTAACTCTATGGCGTAACGGCACGGCCGTTTCGAACACTCCGTGTGATATCCGCACCATTTCACATTAATAGCTAATACCTATACTCTATGGATGCACGGTTGTTCAAGAGCGGAATCGTTTCGATCCAAAAGCTACTGGAAACTATTGTCTCAAAACCCAAAAAAACTACACTATAGATTATTTCATTGATGATGTTTGATTGGAATAGATAGCCCAATATGATGGACGACATTAAGAGTCTCTTTAACGTGGGCATCTTCGGAACAACCGCGATCGGACTGATCATAATCTCTTGGTATATTATGTGGCCTAAGCAGACCGAACCGGACGAACGTCGTCAACGGAATACTGCGCAGCCGTTCAAAAATCCTCGTTCGGACAGAAACTACGGCAATTTTGATACCGCCGGTCGTGATTCTTTTGTCGAGTTTACTCCGACGACGACGGTAAATCACGAAAACTATCTATATTGTGATTATAAACTTTATTATTTTTCTTTATACACGAGACGAGCCGGGTAAAACGTTATTAATGCTTTTAATTTTAGGTTATAAACAGTATATGCGACGAAATAAAATGTGTCGATAATATCGTGAATAATCAACATAGCTGTTGTTTGGTCGACACGGGAACACAAAATATTCAAAATTTAAATTATTTTCATTCGATTCATCGGGCACCGTCAGCAGGTAAATCACAGTATTCGGTATACTTGCTACATAATTCATTCGTATTTACTTTTCGGAAAATTTAATATTCATATATTATTTTAAGATTTCCCTTATAACGTTCGCCCTTACTCTGAGACAGAATAGCTTGAAAATTCTTACCCTGCAAATATACAGGATAATTTACTAACCGTGCCCGCCCCAATTTTTTTTTTATTATTCAATTTTGCAGAGGTATGTTCAAATTCTGATTTTTGGAATATTTATGTGTAGGTAATTAAAGCCGATATTTTCGAATACTTAGATTTTGAGTACCCTGCGGCGTTACTAACTTTTCAAATGAAAAACTATATTAAAAAATTCCATTAATATATGGAGTGCAAATATTAGTGTTAAAATTGTTGACTTCTGTTAACTCATTAACGAGATATAACACTATTAAGTTTAGATGAGGGGAGAATTGTGGAGCACTAATAAAACGTCACTTGTCGTGGCTTTGCACATGAAAAAGACTTGCTTCCACAAGGAGTTGAACAAAAGTTAGTAAAAAAAAAAGAAAGCAGATTTTAAACTTTAAGCATTATGTTAGCTTAATGAATCAAACAACAAACATTAGAGTTTTATAAAATCTAAAATAAAAAAAAATTACTGAAATTATTATAATCAATATTTTAATATTTTTTAAATTATAAAATTACTAGAATTGACAGAATTAGGGGTAATTGACAGAATATGTGCATGATAATTAATGTCCGGTGTTAGGATTACACTTAGATCTTTTGTGCTAGGAATGCATGATATTGTAGAGCCATTTAGAGTATAGTTGTATAAGTGAATGAAGAGCTTGTTCCAACAAAATAACATATAGACTGGCATTTAGCAACATTGAGATGTAGCCATGTGCAATTTTATATTGCAACACTGTTGTTAATCTTAATAAGTATTATTGCAATTATAATATTATTTCATAGTTCCATAAATTAATAAAACAATAACAACCAATGGATGAATACAAATAAAACAATTATACATTGTACTGTTTACAAAAGTTGCGCTGAATTACATTCATATAAATATGTTATTTGAATATTATGAACAACAATCAACCCGGAATAAAAGTTAATTCAAAATCATAGTTGACAAATAAATAAATACAATTATTAAGAGGGCAAAATAGTATTATGCACTGTTTGAAATTATTAATTTAAAAATAAAAAATACTGTGGATGGATACGGCCACATTTATAGGCGAGTACCATTGTTGCCAGTTTTCTAATGAAGCAATTCTTTGTGTAAAAAATATTAGCATAATGAAATCATTGAGTATTTATTTGAAAAAAATCGTATTTTTGTACTTTTTGGATTTTCCCAATTATAATGAAAACTACTTTGGATATCAAAAAACAACTTTCTTTTACAGTGGCTATATTATGTTAAAAGGAACAAAATCGTTTACTCTTATCATTTTTCGATTGGAGCAATATTCCTGGTAGAGTATAAGTTGCAAAAATTAATATCAATGAAAACAGTAACGCCGCGGCGTGCCGTGTAAATATTTACTGTATATTTACCTATATTTTTCTTTCGGCAATTATCTTGAATCAAAAATTAACCTCTCCAGTGCACCAATTAGATAAGAAAACGTTAATAAAAGATGCTACACTTGATATTTCGGAGCAAGTTTTCTGGTAGAAAAGTTGCTCACAGACATATAAAAAAAAAAAAAAAAAACATAGTAAAACCAATAGATTCTTCGCTATACTCTCCGAATCTAAAATAGATCAAAGAAAGACGAGTTTAGTTTTTCTAGAATGTAAATAGGAACCTAACCTAACCATTTATTAATTTTGAAAAATTAATATTTATTTAGTTGAATATATTTATATTCAACTATATTAATTGCAATCTCCAAAATTGTTATAGGTATTTTATAATAATGTTAAAACAATATTAGGTAGAGTAATAAGTATCTTATTCTATTCAAAAATGTAATATCAATAAAAAATTGATAAAAAAAAATGTTCACTCACAGGAAAAAAGGTAATTTGTTGGGAACTAATTTTCCATGAAAAAAATTATAACGGGGGGCCGATTCTTTACATACGACGTTTTCTCGCTGGAGGTCAATTGTTCATTTTTATACATCACACTAGAGATTATCAACGAACATTTTGAATAAATGACGGCACATTAAAATTATTGTAATAGTTTTTTTTTTTTTTTTTGTATAAAATTATTCTTTTTTCGAATGGCAACAACATAATTTTTTATTTTAAAATCAACTAGATATCGAATAAATTTGATTACAATGTGATTATTACTTTATTTTAAAATTACCTATTAGATCGTTCATCGATTTTAATAATTTTATGACTGACGATGAAAACGACCAAAATCAAATTCGCTCGAAATCTTTGTATGGCCTATACTACTACTTACCTGTAATATTGACAATTGACAACAATAATGAATGATGATATGCTTTGATATCCGTATATATAATGTTTAGAATGTTCAACATTTGCCGCAGAACATCAATCGATAACGGAACAAATTAACCGCAAGTCATTTATGGCAGAAAAATTGAAGTCATTGGAAAATAAACTATCCGAAGTCGAGAGTGAGTATACCTGCTGCAGCTCTATTATAATTATTTTATTTAATTATAGATATTATTATTATAGCGTAATATGTTATAATATTTTTATAAAATAATTTAATTTTTTAATTTAAAGTTTGCGTACACTATAATTACATCAGCTATATGCATAGGTTGCACGATACAGCGGAAATTGTAAAATTCGCAAGTACGGGAATAACAATAGATTTATGCGTTAATGAAATAATACACGTTGGAACGTCATCGTGTGCATAATAATTTATTAATTATATCGCAGGCTAATTTATACTCATTCACGTTTTAAAAATTGATTACACTGCTACACTGGAGTTGTGTTAATAATAATGATAATAGTATCTAATGTTACGCTTTTTTAGACATGTTAACAAAAACCATTATACATACGAAAATCTGCGAGTCGAATAACGATCGCATTATGTTGGTTCTCGACGAAATCAAAAAATTCGTCATCGTGCATAACACCTGCAACGACGATACGTTTTCTACAGTAGAAACCTACAAACAAAACTGCGGTGACGGTTCGTCTGAAACAAAACTAAGACTGTCCATTCTAGAAGGTTCGAAAATAACTCTTCTATAATTAATCTTTGGTCCCAGGGTAGAAAGACTAAATTTAATTTTTGGATTTTTTTTTTTTTTGTGTAAATTTGTCTTGTTATTATTTTTCACATTTATTTTTTGATCTAAAATCGGGTTTTGAATTTTTAACACTTATTTTACTGGAAATAAAAAAATCTTAAATCACTACAATGTACTTTTTGTTTGGCAAAAAATACATGTTATCCAACTGTATAACTTAAGTCACTTAGAACGTTATTTAGCAATTATGACATTTAACATTTTTTTAAAATTTAATTTGCTTGTATTTAAAACTAGGCAAAATTGATTCTACACCGGAGCTGAGATCAAAGAATTATTGTATCATAGATTTGGTTTTTTCTACGCTATACACTGTTATAAATGTATATTATATACTTGTCTACTCGCACTATCAAATTGTTTCAGATGAATTTCAAAAAATACGGCAGATGAGCGCATTATTCGTTAAACCTTCAGTTATCGAAAAAAATCTGCAACAAGACATTAAAGGTAATACTGATATTTTTTTTTTTTTTTTAACAACACTCCAATTTTTTCAAACAATAAAGTTTTCGTGAATATAATTACACTTGGTTAAAAAAAAAATTACAATCAGCTCAGAAAAAAATAACAATGTTTCAAATGGTAAGGATATAATACGGATGAAGGATCAAAAAGCTCTGCAGGGAGCACTGTCCTTGCATTGTTTGCAAAAATCTTGAAAAAAAGTACTTAAGCGTTGTCACTGGAACAGTGGACACTGCTTATTTACTATATTTATACCCAAATGGATATCATTAATAATATTCACCGTTTTCGTTTCAACAATTCTAAAAAACATACAACATTTTGGACCCTCGAAGATATGAAATAATATTATATTTTGTAAAGCAAATAAAATTTAAAAAATTAGTCTTATTTTTGTAATAAAATAACTATTAAATGTGATACACATATACATTTATATAATATTATATTATATTGTAATTAGTGGTAGTTGTATTATTATTTATGTACCTTTATATTGTACTGAAAAAAAATCAAAGTAAAAACTTCACTTTTGTTTAGAATGAAATGGGATATTTTTCTGGTTTAACCAAATACACATATTGAAGCTATTTTCAAAATTTTCCGGTGTGCACATGTATTATAAAACCTAAATTTTCTTATATTATTAGTTTTAAAACCAAATTTAATTGATGTTCCAATTTTTTAAAAGAAATATTCCTCAATTAAAAAATTTTTCTAAATACATCGACATCTAGTTTTTTTTTTTAAAAAAAAAAAATGGATCTTTACAAAATTTAAAACATAGCGTTAGTATGTGTTTTTTTTTTTTTTTTATAATTATCTTTACTAATAATTAATACTCCTAAAACAGTAATCAAATTTGATTACTTTTAAAGCCGTGCGATTTAAATTGTTTGAAAAATCGCGAAAAAATAATTGTAATATTGAAAATATGCTCAAAATGTATTATTGCACCCGATCTTTAAAAAAAATAATAAATCCCACTACAATAGTTGAAGTCCGTCGGGTTAAATATTTCGTGTTATCATTTTGTAGTTAAACATACTATATAATTTGTACAATGTTGTTATTTTTTTGTTTAAATAATGATGTAGAACACCATTAATAACGAACGGTTCATATATGCAGTATTTTAGATTCCGAGCGTAGCGAGGGAGCTATTGGTTTTACTGAGATATTAATTTTTTTTTTCTTCTTCTAGTCTGTGAACACGTTTTTTCCTTGTAAACTTGCTCCAATTTTTACGTGTAGCAACTTTTCTGAAAGCTCAAGTTGTCTAGATTGTACTATAAAGAAATCATTTTCGATGCCATTTTTTAAATAAAAAGTTTCCCCTTAAATGGGAAAAAACGTACAATTTCACGATTTCATTATTTTATAAAAACACGGACGAACCAGTAAAAATAATTTAATCGAAAAATCATAGACACCTTTTTTGTTGCCTTTTGATTTACTTTCTTACGGTATCATAGCCAAAACTTTTGAGCCACTTTTGAACTTTTAAGACATTTTAAGTTTGTGTTGCTGTAATTCGGTTATAAATACACGTGGAGACTTTAAACTTGGTAATAATACTTATACTGGACTTACCTAGCCGTAGTAAAATTTCCAAAATCATCAGAAGCCTTTTTTATTTTATTAAGCGTTTTGAATCAAATTTAAACGAAAATCGCAAAAACAAAATTACTTCAAGTCTTTTGTCAAGCAATGGTTTATTGTTGCTTACAGATATAAATGAAATAACCTTATATATCCTATCTTCTCAACTTCTCACCTACAGTGGCCGGGGCTCCCATCCCCAGTATTGGTTATTATTTTTTTTTTTATTATATACATTCTCGAAACTATCAAAATAATAATAATAATTGAATAAAATAAAATAGTGATACCTTATGATATTCTTTCAGTCAGAATGATTGGTGAACGGACAGAAATCCTGCTGACGAAAATTGAACCACCGCCGCCTCCGCCTACGCCGACGCCTGTATTGTCATCACCTACTCGCCAAAAGGTTGCGACACCATTAAAATCGACGAGTGAAACCTGTTATAATAATAATTATACGCGTATGAAAATATCTGTCGAAGAAATCCGAAATGTAAAGCTTAGGCCACTACAACAGCACAAAAAAAAGAAATTCCCAATCATAAGAGACGGTCAGTGATTTCATTTTGAAAACATAAAAAAAAATTATATCAATCTGTGTCTATAATTAGGTAAGTAACTATAAAAATAGGTAATATTATAATACTCATCATGTTCGTATTTGGTCTAATTATAATACATTCATACTGATCTTTTGAATATGTGTGGAGTACATTTATTGTATGATTTTTAAAACCTGAACCGACTATGCACACCACTGCGATGATAAATCGTATAACAAATTTCTTAACATTCTCGTTACGTGGTGAAAAATATTTTTGAACTTGAAGAAATTATAAGAGTAAGTTAAATGGCAAGTTTTTGCCATTTTGTCTACGGAACACCTTTAAAAATCAAACTCGTCACAAAATTAAAAAGAACTGATACTGAGAACGGATGCAGTGTCACTGCTGAAGGATGAATAATGAGATGGTGAGATAAATAAATCGGTTTTTATCATCCCATTCAACCGGACTAATTATGGTAGCGCTGCAGCGGGAACACTCGAATTGCCTCCCATGATTTTTTTATTTTTTTTTTTTAATGCGACGCAAATTGGCTCCCGGTACAAAAATATCAAAAAATTAATTACCTCTTATTTTACCATCTTGTACTGTAATCGCTGATTATTCAATATCGTTAATCGATAATCGATTAATTTATTTAGTCGATAGTTGAAAGAAATGTGTAATGGTATAATTAATAATAATTGAAAATAGGTCTAAACTACACAAATGTTTATATGAAAATAATAATAATAATAAATAAATAAGCTGAACTGTCAAAAGTGACTAGAAATAACATTGATTAAAAAAATAATAATAATAAAAAAAAAAAAAATTATAATTTTTCAACAATTTAAGTTAATAAATAATTATGCATTTTTTACTCAAAATAAACCAACACAGCAGTATTTATTGGTAATAAAAGTGATTATAATATTTAAAAAAAAGCTGATACTGGGGACGGATGCGGTCACTGTGTAGGTGGGTAGTGGGGAAAGTGGGGTGCATTTAATTTATACCTGTAATCAACGATAAACCATTGATAACGAAAAACGATTCGGAAAAAAAATCGGTGCAAGTATTAAAAGGCCGTAATAATTACGATTTTCGTCAAAATTTGATTTCAAAACTTACGTATAAAAAAAAAATATTACATTACACAAATTTCATTTTTTTTGAAAAAAAATACCATCAATAGAGTATGACATACATACTATGAAATAATTGAGTTATTTAATATAAGACGTATATTATAACTTTCACATAATATTAGAATTTCAAAAAGCTATGATTTCGAAACTAAGCCAGTCTGCTCAATTCTGACTTCACCATCGTTTTTAAATCGGCAATAGGTAAACACAAACAAACAAAACAAAATGAAAAATTTGCATAGACCAACAATTAGATCTGTTCCACAAAATGTTTTAATCGAACGATTTTCGTCAAATTTGATAATAAAATTCCTTTATAAAAAAAAATACTACATAAAGCTCAAATTTTTTTTTTTACCACAAAATAGATACGACGTATTTTAAGAAACCTGTTAAGTTTTCAAGCATTCCTGTTTAATCTAACAATTTTTTATCTACAGAATACCTACCGAATTCCGTACAAAGTTAAAATGTCTATAATTAGTTCAAAAATGGATCAAATGTTTTTAAAATTTTACTCCGTCTAGAAAAAGCAAATATAAGTATTTTGTAAAAATTCCAAGTCTTCATGAATATATTAAACTAAATTACATTAAAAAAAAAAATAAAAACTGAAAATAATAAAATAATTATTTTCGTACATTTTCCCGCAATTCGTATGCAGCCAATTAATCAATAAAGAAATATAAAATTTCAATAACTTTATAAATAAATTTATTTTTTAAGAGGCAGTCCAAGTACAAGTACCAATTTATTTAATCTTATTATGTATAGGAGTTTTCCTACAATAATAATATATAGGATACATCATACATTCTTTTTAACTTTTTATAATCTCTGTATCTATTGTTCTGATTTTTATTTTGAAAAACACGTTAAGATGTTATGCATTTCCTTTGAAATATTACCCTGTACGGTTTTTACAGCGAATATTTTATCTTTTAACATTTATTAAAAGGGTACCTTTTTTTTGTCTGTTTTAATTCTTCAATGGTACAGTGGTGTTCCTCTCATGGTTATCAGCCGGTTTTATCACGCGACCCTAAACTATTTATCCTAAACTTCAACCATTTTTATACCGACAAATTATGATGCATAAAAAAATATGATAATGAAAAACATTAATAATAATAATTTTTTTTATGTCTAGAAAAGTTTCCAGCGGATTTATTAAAAATGACGATATATATATTTTTATTAGATACATACTTATATATTTCAATTGCAATTGCAATGCATTGGTATAAGAATAAAATATTTGTTTATAATGCGAACGGATTCAGTCACTGTTATAGGTAATTTAATGTATATCTGTAAGCAAAGCGATTTTGAGTGGAGTCTGCTTGATAGTGTTGTTTTGTCAACAATATATATGTCATATTATGGTAAAACAATTACTCATGCATTATAAATTTTCTTTAATAATATTTGTTTAATATTGTACCTATTTTCCTGTTTTTCCTACGTTTTTCCCATTTATTAGGAAAACTCCTGGAAAAATCAAAAAATGACGAGTACCTATGCGGAATTTAATTATCTGTACGGTACTATAGTGCGCGGCTTTGTTATACCGTTTGCATGTGGAGGGATTGAATATAAATTTTGATATTGCGCGTATGCAAAAGACATGTATAATAATATAATTGTAGAGTATATTAACGTAGGCGTTTGATCTTTTTACTGCAGGAACTTCGTTCGATGGGATGTGATTGTATATTATATTATTGCGAGCGCGTGCATAAATATACGCACAGAGCCCGCGATTTGTAAATGAAACAATTCGACTAGATTATAAATGTGATTTGTATATTACAATTTGCATTTGTAAGGTCCGAATATATAACGCGAATTGCGTTTTTTTTTTGTGGTCGCTTTAGGACAAAATTAGTATACATAATAGTATCTGTTTAATGTAATTGAAATAGGTATATGACATATTATAGTGTGTACTGTATACTTTACGGGTATATACTACAAAAGTGAGTGACATTTTTATTTCGCTGTTTTAGAGTATTTTGTTGATAAATGTATTAATTTTATGTACTTCGAGGTTCAGAGTGTAGCAAAGAAACTACCTATTAGTTTTATTAAGATGATGTGTTTTTTTTCCCCACGAAAAACATTTTTTCGTTAGGTAAAGATGCTTCAAATGGTTTACACACCGTAGTCTTCAACTAAGAAGTAGCCCGACATTTCGCCCCGTGGAGGTTTGTTTGAAAAGTTTTTCTAGATTCCACTTTTATCTACGGTTTTTCTAAAAAATAAAATAAGTCAGAAAATCGTGTTTAATTTTCCAACCAGTTTTCATATTTGAGAAAAACCGGAAAAGTCGTAGGTAATACAGGAATACTTACAGCATTAATGGTTTCATTAGGTACCTATTTTAAATTTCAGATTTAAATTGGTTAAAAATTATCGGAGAGAGCTGAAATTGTCAAAAAATACTTAAATTAGGCTATTCTAGTCGTGGTAAAGTTCAAAACATGTTGGCGATTTTTGAGTTATTTGTAGATGTGTTTTTTGTATTTATTTTATAAGTATAGATACAATACTATGTGAATAAAATTTTTTGGAGACTTAAAAAATTTTTTATTTTCGTAAAATTTACTCAGGGACGTATTTCGTTAGCAATGATTTATCGTTGCGTGAATATATAATTTAAATAACTTTATGTATCCTAAAAATTGCCAACTTTCCACTTACAATAACGACACACTGATTTAGAAAAAAAAAATGAACTCAATACTCAAACATTTTCACACTCGCTTTCAAATAAATGTACAAGTATTAAAGTCCCATGACACTATAACAAGAATTTAATATTTAATCATTCAATGTAATAAAATGTTTACGGAGAAATCGTTTTACGCCAGCAAGAACAATTTAATTTGTGAAATCGTTTACACATTGCCGTATAATTTTTGTTTAGTTTTTCCGGGGTATTTGTTTACATGGTAAGAAAAAAATTATAATTGTTTGACTATTTATCATACATTCATAATAATGTTTATACCATTTGAATACAAATTGCGTTTTTTTAGAATCTGAACGGAATGTATTGGTTTTACAATGGTGTTTATTTTTTTTTTCTGCGGATAACTTTTCTACCATCAATTTGATTCCGATTCATTTTGGTTTTTGTAAGAATTATCTAAAAATTGTATTTTTAAACGATTTAAATGATAAAAGAAAGAATGGAAATTAAATTAAGTAACACGGGTATCGTAGTCAGCTAGTAAAGGATAAAAATATAATAAACGATTATATATAACGTAAAAAAAATAAAAAAAAAACAAGAAAATCAAATTTACTCAAAATTCTCTTGGATAATCGCTGTTTCATGTGATCAAGTAATAAAAATCATTGCATTTTTAAAAAAACCGCCGCGGTCGTGCGAATAGTAATAATTTTACATTTATGCGACTGAAAGTGAGTTTAAACCGTATGATAATAAATAATAATACAGTTCCTAAGATAATTGATCTATATCTGTACATTGAGATTCGAATGTGACGAAAATGTATTTTTAACATTAAATGCGTTTGTTGTTACTATTTGAGAAAACTGATTTGTGACATAGGACTATTGTCGATAAATTATGTTAATCTGTTATCTGATATCTGTTTAACCGTTTTACGTTTGAAATCGTATTTCATTAGCTACAATTGATTATTGCGTACAGACATAAAATAATTAGCTCTATGTAATATTCCTACCATCCCAACTGCTCACCTACAACAGTGGCACACTCATCAACGGTATCAGCTCCATTTTTTTTCATTCATTTTATTTACATACGTATTATTTGTTTTGTATTGCAGTTTGTCTAATTCTTTAATATAGCAGGTATTCTAAAAATTGCA